ACTTATCAATTGAACTCTCTTTGGCAGAATCGAAGAGCGTTATGACTTCCACACACACATACACCAAGGACGATATTAGCTGTTCACATAAAATTTTGTAGTCTTCGAAACATCCAAGTTGCCCGCAGCGCTGTATTTCGCAAAACAATGCTGTACCCTGTTTTTGGAATCAGCCGTTAGCAAAGAAAGCCACCAGACGTCCTGTCATCTTAATAGCGCTGCAGTGCTTTGTCACTTGCTTCTCATTACTCTTCGAGCTGTTATTCATAGATAATGGGACTGAAAATACCTCAGCTGTCTGTGCCATGGTCAGCTTCTCTACAAGCTCGTGCACCGTTGCCAATTGTTCTTCCAGCTCTTCAAAGTGACAGTGATCTTTTATTAGCTGAAAACCATAACTGCAGTTGCACAGCTATCACATCTGTTGCATTTATTACAAAAAAACCTTAGATACACAAACGATTAATAATCATTAAATAAACAGGTCATACATGATTATAGCAGTCCAGGAGCATTGAAATAACAACCACAATGATGCCCATCACCAAGACATGGCGTAAGTCTAATATCGGCTTAGCATTCCTGACGTCAACCTGAAAAATTGAAAGTATTTTTGCGTCAATTCAATTGTATGAAAAAATGCTGCACCTGAACATAGCACTCCAAGTATGTTGCAAGTGCAGCTGCAGTGATGACCAGCTTTTTAACACGATACACCCATGATTTTGAATGAGCTTTTATGCCGCGTACCTGAACGAGCTCGAGAAGTCCAGTTAGGCAGTTAAGTCAGTTTTATTTTCAGTTAGTTAGTTAAGTTAGTTATCTGCACCGATCATGTTCCAGTAATCTATTGAGTTGCCCCATAGTAATACCGTTTTATCTCCCATCATGGTTTCTGCATCCTGCATCGTTTGGTCATCGATATCATGAATCGACAAATTGCTTCATGCATGAATTGGCGTTTTTCTTACATGAATTTACGTGATACGTGCACAAGTAATTCTAAATTTGGTCACCTTTTTCTGATTTGTTTTATCCAACAATTCATCCTTCTCTTGACGAAGTTGACTCAGTTCTTCACGCAGTTCCTCTTCCTATGTTATCATTCGTTAGGAAGCAAGTTATTCTGGATTAGTAAGGAAACCTACACGATCCTTGGAGGTTTTGACAGCTTTCTGCAGAATTTCATTCTCTTGCTCTAACTGCTCTGTCGCCTTTCTCCATTCATTGGATTGTTGTGCGATTTTCTCAAGCTTAGTATGTTTATGAAATAATAAGGTTATGTCAAAGTTCAGATATTACAACAACCTACCGCCGAATTCCGTCTTCTGATACTAAATAGCTCGGTGATTATCTGTTCGAGCATCCCTGCAGATTCTCTCGCCATCACGCTGACATCGGACCCTCAAATGCGGAACAGTGTATGTTCCTCGAGATTACTTGAGCGATTGAGTGGACTAATTGGTAAGGCCAAACATTCTGCGACACTTTGAGGGAACTGTTCTAGCAAGCAATCTAAGCATTTTTCGAATTTCTGATACCGTCCACTAGAGAATGTTCTCGTGAGTTAGCAATAACAATAGCAATAACGGCAAACGATGGCAGAGGCCGATTTGTATCCATACTTCCGGAGCTTGTAATCTTCTGTGGACCATGCTACTTCACTACTCAATTTCCCAAATGAGTTCCTGCGCTGGAGCTCTGGAGGATTCGATGTAGTAACTGAGCTGCATTCAGTATAGGTTTTCTCGGTAATATCAGCAGGATCTCAAAATTACTAAATTTGAAGTTGGGCGCTTAATAGGGGCACTGGTAGGGCGACTTGACCTTTTTCAGTTTTTCGGATATTCCACCAAAGGTAACCAGCAATAATTGCCAGCAGCCAGGCATTTGACAACTATTAAGCTTCTCCGCACGTTCTGGGAAACATTCAACGTTCTGGGAAATGCGCTCTGGGAAACATTTCTCCCACATGGACATGGAACACTGATCCCTCCTAAAGGCATAACCCGTCGTTTGCCATCACAGATAGTGATCAGGGACTTGCATAGAGACGACAAGGTGATGAGTTGATTCGATATGAGTAAAAAAGCAGAAAAAACATGCCAACTGCCTGAAATGAAATCCCATTTCGATCTCGGTTTGTACGTGCGCTATTAAGTCTATTTCCGATTCTGCGTCCCGATCCGCTCAGTTTATTCCCCGGTTAGAACTCTACGACCGCACAAGTGCAATTTTCATGCTTTCTCGTCCATCAGCCGTTTTTCACTGAAAGGCGGGCCTTGAAGGCGGAGTCTGGAGGCGGAGTCACTGGAAAAAAGGAGGCGTCACTGAACCTATATTGCGCTATAGCGCCCCTCCCTTGCAATTTTTTGCCGCGAAACCGGTACAAGGTTGTTTGTCGCGGACCACACTACCCTCCGACGCCATATTTTCTCCTTCTGAACCTGATCGCGGACCGTGCCTTTAAATGCACCGATTTAACATGACGAACACAATTGTTGTGGATGTGTCCACATTTCCCGTACTCACAGGAACGTGTGTGGATAGGCATAAGGTCTGGTGAGGAGAATCGGACGCCTTTACGTGAACTATGCACTCCAGCTTCGAAGAATCACAAAATGTAGTCTGCACGTCCAACACTAATCCAAACGACCGCTCTAGAACAGATTTAGAAAAGTTTGGTCTTTTCCTGCTTCGAAACGAAAGAAGACGCACCTAATGACAATGGACCTCACTGGGGTAAGCTGTGCCCATTTGTAAGTCAGATTTAGCAGTTTCTAACAGCCAGGGCGGAAGACGCTCTTTGTTTGACTGTTTTGATCTTTTGCTTCTACCTCAGAGTTTGAGCGTCGGAATCTTATTCTCGGCCAACGTTTCGACTCATTTGCCGTTGCTGAGGGCCCTCAGAGTTGTACACTATTCCACCAAACGCCCCATGCCCTCTAGCATTTCTGACTTCATTCTAGGGTCTACTAAATGTCGTCGGTGATTCAAGCCTCAAACTTGGGTAATTAAACGTTTATCTGGAAGCACCGCAATAAGAAAGAATTAAACTATAAAGCTCGGCTCACCAGGGCTCCTTTTATGCTGGTCAAGTGGGCGGAGCTCGCTGGTATTGGCAAGGAGATATAAACATGATAAGGAAATGTTGTGAGAGAAACCTATACAATCGCTCAGATCAGCCTACTGATAACGATATTGGAGCTTACAAGGCTATTCGTACAACAGAATGAAGTAAAAGATAATGTCATAATGGTTACAATAATGATACAATAATGATAATGTAACAATCGCTAAATAGAGCGAGAGTCTCTATACTCCCGGGGACACGATAACTGCCAGCTTCTGGATCCACTGCTCAGCCCTCTCTCTTGCCTCCTTCTCAGGTACGATTCGACGACGATGATGAGGAGCTGCGACGTCCATCACGAGTATCGTCTGGTCGTGTGCCTTCTCTCGCCCTCTCGCGTCCTTTGTCATGCTCCGCTGTCGCGCTTCCTCCACGTCTCCTTCTGTGTTCATCGTCCCGAGTGTGGCTTCCGGTCCGACGACGACGATCCTCGCGACCGCGATTGACTCCTGCCATTTCGCGGTCTAGTCTCAGCTGCAAGTCTCGCATTTCCCTTTCCAGCCTTGATTCCCTTGACTGATATCTTTTCCTTCTCTCCTTCAATTCGTCCATCTCTTTAGTGGAGCTGACTCTGCCCCCCTCTTTCCGCCACTCCTTCTCGATGTCTCTGTTGACCTCAAGCATGGAATCACGGACTTCCTTCAGTTCTTTCTCCGTCTCGCTCATCTGACGTCTGATGCGTTCCACCTCTGGGGTGGGCTCCGCGGGGGCACTTGTCGTTACTGTGTTGCCCTCTGAGAGGCGAGAGCCAAACTCTTCGACGCGTCCCTTGAAGAGCACGAATGTCGAGGGAGAGCTGTGAGATATTGATATTGTCCACTGCGCCTCGCAGTTCCTTGAGGTTATCACGAAGATCATTCCAATGATTTTCACTTGTCGCGTGCTCTTTTTCAAGGCTGGCTGTGTTCATTCTCTCTTTGATCTCTTTCTCCATTTTTTCGAAACGATCCGTGAGTATGTTTAGTTTCAGACTCAGCGTGTCCAGCTTTCCTTCGGTTGTCTTGTGCCTCTTCATGTTCTCCAAATGATAGGCTCTGACCAGATCTTCGATACGCTGGAGACGCTCAGTTGTCTGCGGACAGGGAGCTGTCGTTACCGCAGGGGCGAGCTGGTCTACTTTGCTCGCGGCAAGGTGCAGAGTTCGGGATCCTTGCAATAAGAGTTCCTTCAGAATGGTCCCAGAAGCTCGTCCTTTCTTAGGTGGAATATCGCCGGCTTCTTCTGTCGACGAAGATGACGATGACGAAGACGAAGACGAATTTCGTTGACGTTTTGGGGCGGAGGTCGTCGAGGTTGTGTCCGCATTAGTCGCTGGCCTCTTTCTGGCGATCTTTGCAGGCTTCGAATTTACTGACTGCTCGGCACTTGGCTTGATGGGCTTAGCAGTAGACGCAGATGTCTTGGCGGCTTGTCTGGTTCGTTGAGTACTCTTGTCAGTAGGAGTAGTGGGCTTCGTGGCATTCTTGTCCATGGGAGTAGTAGATTTCGTGGCTGACACTTCAGGAGAACCTGGTCTTCTTGGGTATGCCACAGGTACTCCAAGTACCTTTTGAACGACGGTTGCACTGAGATCCGTTGAGGAAATGTGCTTATTGAGTGCTTCATCGTTTGAGCGATACTCTCGAAGGTTCATTTTCAAGTCGTTGAACAGTTGCTTCGAATCGGCGTATAATCGCATCGCGTCTTCCGTTGATGATGTGGTGACTATCACGTTATCCACGTAGGTATTGCTTGCTATTTCCTTCGCCAGTTTCGAATTCTTCACACATGTTTCCAAGTGATGTTTAATCGTTCCCGCAAGAAGGAAAGGCGAGCAATTCAGGCCGAACGTCACCCTTGTAAAGCGGTAGGTGACCATGTTGGCTGGTGCTAAAGATTGAGTGATATCGCGCAGCCAAAGGAACCTTGTGGCATCCCTGTCCTCGGGATGGAGCCGGATTTGAAAGGAATGCCTTCTCGACATCGCTAATGATTGCAACCGTTCCAATTCGAAAGCGAAGAAGGATGTCGCAGGTTGTCCTTTGAGATGTGCTGAGGCGTCGAAGACTATTCTGAGTTTTGTAGTCGCTTTGGTCGGTGTTCTGACAGCGTGATGTGCGAGATAGTGGACAACTCGTCCTCGACCAGGAGTGTCCTCGTCTACTTCTTCAATAATTCCTTGTTGAAGTTGGTCCATTATGATATCGTTGTATTGTTGGAGCGAAGCCTCATCATTAGCAAGTTTCGCGATTGTGGCTTCGAGTCTTCGAACAGCCATTGCCTTGTTGTCGGGGAGCGTGATGGCTTCATCTTTCCAGGGGAACCGTACTTGATAGCCATCTTCCTTCCTCTCAATGGTCTGCTCAAATCTGTTCCAGATTTCCGCATCCATCTTCTTTCGCTCTTCAACGCTCGGTCCGGTGAACTCATGAACTCCCGTTGCCTCAAATGTGCAGAAGTCTTCCCAGGATTGCACTCCTTCATGGAATTCTGACGAGATACTGTTTATGACTGGTTGACCCGGCATTTCTTCAGCCTCGTCAGCTCTGGTGGCGCATCCTGACACAAGATATCCGAGTTTGGAGGGAATGAGAGTCAGGCCTGATGGAAGGGTTATCTTTGTCGCGAATCCTCCATCAAGGAATGCATATAGGTCGGCACATCCGAGTAGGACTTGTGGTCTGATTTCCGTAACCTGGGAAGTTATAGAGAGCTGAATGTGTCTATCAAACAGGAACTGTTTGTCTTCCAGGCTGAGCCTTTGTCCCGCCATGGGCTCCGTGACTGTGTTGATCTTGGTGACTTCTATAGTGTGAGAGCTTCCGGATTTATCCCACATCTGCAGGTTGAGTTATTCCGCATGTTTGGATCAGTTTGAGATCCTGCAGTTGTGGGA